TAAGTTTTTATTTTGTAAACTGATGTATTAATATATAAAGATGTGTATTTATACGTAAATCAACAATATGCGTACGTTTCAACATGTGTATGTTTCAACGATGCTTTACATTAATCATCAAGTTTATAGCGACATTGATAAAAATCTTGTAATATTTTGAAACTCGCACAGGAAAGATTATTTTTGGTACATCGCCAGATATATAAAGCAACAGCTCGTATATACTTCAACGAGTTAAAACTCCAATTGTTCTCCTTTTCCCTCTCTGATTAAGACATTTTCGCACGATATTACGTACGTAATGTGCCGACCCACTTGAAGGGTTAATTTCGGTCATGGCAACGCACGTACGTTACTCTCTTGTGGATAATCGACTCTCGTTAGCAGTGAGAAGAAATAGCAATGTGAGAGAAATGTTGTTTCGCGAAATCTAACTTAAGAGGTGTTTCGTCTAACGAGAATGTTGATACAGCGTGTTACGAAATTCGAAAACGCAATTGTTCGTTATCTAGACGAAACGATCTGTTTTATTTCTTTTTTTACGGTGTTTACAGGCTGCAGAATATTACAAAATTTTAAAATACACCTGGATTCACATTCCAAAAGAGTCAGAATATTATTTTATATATGATCTAGATGTTTCAATTATATTCGCGAGCTTGTGTGCTACGTTTGATAGTTAAATGATTATTAAGATCAGAATCGCGTGAGCTGAGAATCCAGCAATTACATTAAGTTTTAACGATGAGTGTACGAGAAATATCTTATTATTTAATTACTTAATAATATGCGTATTTGTTTAATTTATATTTGTGGAAGTATATAGGACAAATATTCTTCAATCTTTAGAAACGTTGCGCGATATTTACCTTTCTTCTTGATTTAGCGATTGCTTGAGGATGTCACAAATTCTGATCGCCCACGTTGAAACAAATTGCAAAATCGCTATCACATTATCAAACAGAAAAGTGAGAAAGGGGCTACCCTCGTACTATTGTGTTGTGTTCTACGCGCAGCGTAGGCTGACAGCAAGTTATGCACCGCGCGGTAATTGCCGCGCAACTTCTGGCTTATGCACAAGGACAGGGCGCGCCTCGAGTAATATACACGTGTGTATTTAATACGCTACCTAGATAAGAAGAGAAAGAACGAGAAGCACTCGTGGGGTGGGACTTTGGGATTCCGGTGAATGAAGCAGACATGAAACTCACATTTTGCACGTACATAATTCGCGTGATCACATACTTGACACCGTGACGTTCGCGACTCCTCGAGTCGGTTAAGTAGCAGAAACGTTTTATTTGCGACCGAAGAGAGATTAGCGCCAAGAATGCTTGTCAATAGCATTTTAGAAATTCTTGCTGGATTCCTGTTACCCTTTTGATGTTAGTTTTCTTTTTCTCTATCGCACAATATTTCGCGAAACAACGTGCTGAACTTTCAGCACGCAATTGTCGAAAATTGAAGAGATTGAAACAAAACGATTAAAAGTGAAAAATTCATAAAAATACAATATATAGAAAATTTTTTTCAAGAAAATTATGTGCGATATACACACACGCAACGAAAACACGTTCTAACCGCGCGAACAGAAAGTGATTTTTTTTACAACTCGCAACTTCCGGCGTCTATTTCTAGATTTCTAGAAGCACAAACCGCTGGAGTTGCTGTTTACGAAATCGCCAATATCTCGCCGGTATCTCGTATAGCAATAACATCGTAATTCTCAGTTCCGGTAAATTTTCCAAAGCGTTGCACAGTTCTGATGAGTCATAAGAATTAATTTACATGTGTTTAGTTATTTCTTTTGCAAAAAAATAATAACATAAAAATACAAATCGATTCATCGTGCAACGAGTAAGTCCTACAATTGATCGTCACCTGCGTTCCAAGCTGGTGACTCTTTTGCGACTTTGCAAGGTATATATGCAAGTCTTATCTTCATTACACATTAAACGGGACATGTTAAATATCGATAACAGAATAAATGAAATTAAACGTTTTAGATGTAGGATTTTATTTATTTTGTTTTATTTCGACACAAATCTAATTATTTATAATAATAGAAATTCTGTGTATATAGACAAGGTTTGTAAATGTGCGATTTCTCAAATAAATTATCGGATAAATTTTTGTCAAACAATTATATAATTTTAATTAATTTTGATGTATTGTTATTAATCAAATAAAAAAAAGCTATCTCTTTTTCGGAAAGTTTGTTTACAATTATTTTAATGGTTTCTCAATTATTTTATGCTTCTCAAGAGTTTTGTGTTGTATCTAATTATTTGTTTATAGTGAATTCCAGTACATAATAACAATTCAGAGTTTAGAGGATATAGAACATATTAAACTTGTTCGTGAACACTCGGTACACATGTAACTTTTAGCATATGTAGGTCAGTGTACATATATTTTTTTCCATGTCATAGATAAACTTGCACTTATATTCGCTGATTTCCTCATTATAAATTCTCTCATGCAATGTGTGCAATGTATCATATCGATCGTAAATCTCTAGTTTAATGTGAACATTTCGCTCATTATTTTGCACAAAATCGATTTTAATAATATTTCAACGAAAAGCGCTCACATAATATGGTTTTGTTATATAACGCACATGTGTGTATAATTTATGTTATGTAAGTATTGTTTTTAACAAAAAAAAAAAAAAAATAAAAGAGAAGACAAAGTTTTTTCACTTTTTTTGTCGACAGATACTTAGAAACAAATTGCGCGATCTTTCTGGCCTGTACAACGTTTTTCTCTCGTGCGCGCATAGTATGCGATTTCAATTAATTAGTTAATGATGATTACAGCAACGGATGGACGTGTCAAGTCAGTAGTAAGTGTAGGATGTAACCGGTGGTCATTTTCCTGCAACACAGTCGGATGTGGGTCGCTGAGATTTCTCGCCGGTAGACACGTTATCTCTTCTGCGTCGCATATTGCTGTAATTTTGCTCGTTCTGCGTAACCAAGCGCATCTTCGTGAAAACATATGCCTCGCATGCATCGTACAGAAGTGTCATTGTCAGCATATGGCACGAATGCAAATTTCTCTTCTCTTTACACATTTTGCTCGTCGGTTCTTTCTTCCAGTCGTGCAATGTGAAACATTAAAGCTATTTATAATGACTGACAAACTAGTAAGAGTAATTGTTCATTAATATTGATAACGTTTAAAAAATCTTTTTTCTTTTCCTTGTCATGATACATCAAAAACTCGCTCACCGATGTCTTTATCTACACTAATTACCAATTAGAAAAATGTTTCAAACCTAATTACAAAGTATATTCTTACATAATTACATCACTGAAGATCTTCATGTGAGAAACTAATGTATTGGTTACTTAGAGAACTCTGACTCGACACTTGATAAACCATTTGCTCTAGAATAACATTCGATAACATTATTTACTCGTCAATTATCATTGTAATGAACAAAAAAGGAACGAACGCATGTTGTTGCTATTTATAGAAATGAGTCTATCTTGATTTCTAGAATCGTCATCTTGTATTTGTAATGCTACTTATTTTATTTGCATAAAAGATACAAAACGATACTATTTCGACAATGCAGTATTTTCTCTGCCATAACAAAATGCACAAATCAAATAATTTAAACTTAGTTACTTAATTATTATAATCTTTAAAATTTTATAGACTGGTTTTATAAATTATACATTTATCTAATAAATTTACCAACACCATTGCGTCATGTAAATTGCATTTAACGTGGTAATTGTAATAACACACACATACATCTTAATTAGATCTATTTATTCTACAATTAAGTGCGAAATTGATGAGTCACAATACGAATTATGAGATAATTTGTTTTTCAAACTGTTCTTCACGTCTATTTGACATTTAACGTGAATGTTGGGATCAAATAAAGCAAAGCCCATAATCGGCTGCTGTAAACACACTCGTGTGCCGTTGTGTGCCGTTTCCAATTGTCTTTTCTTGAGCGAATAAAATTTCTTCTGTATATAACGGTTCTAATAAATAAAAATGTCTACGTTATATAATGTAAACGAGCGCATCATCACGTACGGTCGTGTTTCTCACTTCGGCATGTTTTCCAGTATATATTTAGTGACACGATAGTCACCTTAGACTAGCCGTTGTCGAAAGGTCAGCATTGATCAGCGTCCATAAGCACGTATTACTGCAGCTGAGAACTTAAAAGTAAAGTGCCGTACAAGTAAGATGCTTATGACTTAAGGCTATAATAAATGAATAACAGCAACTTGTACGTCTATGTAACGAATGAATATTTACGCGTTAATTGCGATGAAAACTTGTATGCTATTTTAGAAGATAATTATGAAGTAATACTGAAAATTCTAAATACAAACTACTACTTAATATTGTAACACAATTAACAAAACGTATATTTTTGATTTTATAAAAATTACATATTTTAATATATAAAACACAAAATTTTGTGTTAGAATATTAGAAAGCACACATATACGCAAAAAAGTATAATCAAAAGTATAATTAAAATTTTATTGGAAATCAATAATTAATTACATACATTGTGCGATTTGAAGAAAGAAAAGGAATTTTATAGGTTTGCATAATTAGACGAAAGTATTTGTGTCACGTGGACACAAATAGAAAAATTCATATTAATTGTCTGTTGCACAGACAATATTGCACAAGATTATTTAGCGATACTTGTACATGAAGCAATTGTATTTAAATTTATGATAGTGCTATCGCGCGCGACACGTTATTACGTAATGATTCGCGAAACGCGAAGAATTCTCGAACTAGATATTTATCGTGATGTTGTTAAACGGTGAAAGTAAAATCCTTCTTCCGTGTGTGCAGTTTCAACATTCCATTCTTTCTCTCGTGCTTTTATATAAGTATATATTATATATGATAATATTGTTAAAAACAGAGATTTAATCTTTAATTTTTCAAATAAGAAGTTATGTTAACACATGTGTGTTAAAACAGATATTAAAAAAAAAAAAAAAAAAAATTACGAGAGAACCTATATCCGAGAGAATTTCCTGGAAAAGGTATCCAGGAAATAGCGTTGTTTAATCGATGTCGGGAAAACCGCTCGCGGCCAAACTTGTTCTCCGATGGCCGCTCATACGTCGTCGTTACAAGAACACGATGTCGCGGAAAGGGGTTAAGTACCTATCAAGTTGGACGCTGTGCGACGAAAATATCGAGAATGTGGAGCGCGTGAGCTTTACTCCCGCGATACAACGAGAACTGGGTTGCGCGGTTAACGAACACGTGTTTCTGGAATATCCTTGGGCTTACGTGGCGCGAGACACCGTTTTGAGGCTCGCCAATAAAACGGGCTCGCCGTTGGAATCGTATCGAGAAAAGGTCAATGCTTACGGTGGCGATAATTTCCTCGTGGGCTACTCGTCCACTCAACTAATCGCGTGCGACTTCGTGATCTGCTTGACGGAGGACGCGAAATTGACGATCGAGAAGAGAAATGCAGAAATCAAAAGAAGAATCTGGAACGATGTAACTGAGAAGATCAGAAAGACCTGCAAATCCTGGAAATCCCTCGGAAGTGAGGCAACGCTGGAGGATAGCTTAGTCAAAAAGACGAGAGATCTATTTGAAGTGGAAATATGCTTACCGTTCAAATTTTTGGCTTTGAGTCGGGAGCTTCACGACAGAACTTCAAAAGAATCTTGGGACAGCTATGTGGAGTTGGTTCCCTATGAGAAATTCAAGAATATCGAGAAGAAATGTATTTCCAGAATGATTCAAACGCACTTCGAGCCTCGCGAGATCGAAGTGCAGACTTATCCCGGGTATCCCAAGAACGCCTGGACCCAATATTTTTACGAGGACACTTTAGGATCAGAGAACGATAACGGTGAAGCAGAAAAAGAAGAATCGATTGAGGAGAAGTCGGAGTCTGAAGAGAAGAGCAAGACCGAAGGAAGCTCCAAAGAAGAAATCTCCGAGGCCGACGTGGAGCAAAAGCCGGTGAAAAGCGCCTTGGAGCTCTTCTTGGACGATCGCGCGCAGGAGATGATTGACGCCGTGCGTTACAACACGGTCGTGAATGTGCACGCGGACGACATTGAGACGCTCGCGCGGTTGTCAGAGTCCGAAATAGATCGGCCGCGGGATGAGATCACTTACAAGGAACGAGTGTCTCTTCTCGATTTGCGCTTCACCGCAAACAAGATTGTCTCCGACGTTTCGTGGCATCCAACTCTCGCCGAGTACGTGACTATTTCTTATGTTACCGCACCGCCATTACACGACGAAGATACCGTAGCTCCAAAAAAAACGGTGCCGACGGTGTTGCTATGGTCTCTTGCTGATTCTCTTCGACCTCAACTGTTACTGCGATGTCAGCAGGAGATTCGCCGTATCTCCTTTTGCCCGATAAACGCCGATTTTCTAATTGGCGGTTCCGCGTCGGGTCGAGTAATCGTTTGGAACATTTGTGGACAAATAGAGGATCATCATGTTGAGGAAAACAATCAGATAGACGAGCTTGATTTGTGGACTCGCGACACTATTCCGGCGATATCTGCGTTTATGGAATCCGATCAGTCGCATGAGATGACGATTCGCGGCATACAATGGCTTCCCGACAATTACAGAATAGAGCCGTCCGGGAAGCTGACGAAACTGTCCACTCGCTCGAGTTGCCAGTTCGTGACGACTTCCGAGGACGGCACCGTCGCAATTTGGGATCTTCTCAAGTACTCCGTCACTTCTCAACTGAAACCGAACGATTGCAAAAATATCAAAGACACTTTTCGACCTACGTATCGCTTGCGACTTTCCGCGGACATGTTTTTCACGCCTCTTTGTTTGTGTCTTCCCTCGGACAGCGTTTTCCAAGAGAACAGCAAGCGTCGTGATGAAATAGATTCTACGGAGATGAATCGCGCGAAGAGATTGTGGATCGGCACGGCGCAGGGACACTTTGCCTGCTGCAGCTGGGAGGGCCAGGTGTTTGACGTGGAAACGTCCGACTTAGAGGAGTGTAAGCTACTTAGCTGTTGTTTTGCGCACGACGGTTCCGTTACAGCGATTCTCCGATCGCCGCACTTGCCGGATGTTCTTCTGACAATCGGCGGTAGCGTGTTTGCCATTTGGAAAGACGATTACTTGGATAGTCCTCTGTTCAGACGAAGATCCGACTGCGTGTACACCGCGTGTTGCTGGAGCAACCAACCAGGAACCTTTATGATCGGCACTTATATGGGCGACGTAGAGATTTGGGATATCAAGACGAAGACTAGCAGACCGGTGTTCAAGCGAATCATCTCCATGAAGCCGATAACTCTCTTGTCACTTCAAGAATCGTGCAAGCAGGGTTTCAAGCTGATCGGCGTTGCTGATTATAACAGCGCTTTTCACGTACTTGACGAAGCGAAGAACTTCGAGGATAACGTAGTTGAGAGAATGGATTGGTTTGAAGAATACGTGTGGAGAGAGGTGAGAAGGAAAAAGATATTCCACTCGTGGGAAAAAGATTTCCTCGAGAACGATCCGACAGCCGTTGTCAGAAGACAAGCGAGAGCTGAAGAAGAGCGTAAACAGAAACTAGAAGCGGCGAGGTTAAAACTTCAGATGGAACACGAGGAACGATTGAGATTAGAGGCTGAAGAGAAGCTGCGCAAGACGCCGAAGTCCAAAGACACCATATGGAAGCTAAGGCAGCAAGAGAGAATGAAGAAAGCTTTTTTAGAGAAAAAGAAGCTTGTACCGCGTGAACTGGAGGAGAAAAGACAACCGTTAGTTTCTTTAGCTGAAGAGAGGAAACTGAAGATGATCAAAGCAAAAAATAAAGTTGCGCTTCAAGATGAGTATTTCAGTAAGGCTACATCTCAGGAATTTCCGGAATATTATCTTCAGGACGAAGAAGATAAAAGTTTGTTGGAGAGACCAAAGATAAAAATTAACGAAGAAACAGTAGCTGCATTATTGACAGAATTGTCTAAAGTCAGAGATGAGGCACGGAGAAAAGTAGCAGAGAAATCATCATATGTTCCAAAATTCGACTGGAAATATTTTGCGAATAAGAAAAAGAAAAACCTGTGAAGAATTCGTAAATACAAATCCAAGATTTAAAAGATAGAAGAAGATGACTGTGTGTGAGAATTTTAATTTTGTCTCGTGATAAAATATTGATTGTAAATACGAATGATAAGATAAGATAGCTTAACAAGTGTTCACAGAATTTTTTAGAGCAGCAGATGTGCATATTTGTATAACGCATAAATTATTAGACTTGTAAATATAACAGTATGTAACAAATTTTAAAACTTACGTTAGGCAAATCTGAATAAAACATTGAAACGCAGAACAAAAATTAATAGACGAGAGAAAACGTTAAAATTTAACAATTTTTCTGCAATTTAAAATAATAAATATTATATTGTATATTATTATATTATTTTTTAGTTAAAACTTGTCTTGTTAAGTTAATCATCCACTATGACTAACGAAGACACTTGATGTATTTTCTAGGGTCTGGGAATAATATGCATGGCATGCGCATCCCCGGCGTATATTGGTGCGACGCACTGGTTTCTCTTTGTTGTGGTAATGTCTTTCATATCCACACTTATATGGTGCGCCGTTTACTTCTTGTCTCTGCGAGAGACACTCAAAATACCCATTAACTGGATTCTAACTGTAAGTATACACATTGTATATTTTTTCTCTTTATTTATATAAATAAATATTACTGATAAATTCAGCTTTACGATACAAACTCTCAAGTACGAAAAACAATATTTTCTAGGAACTACTAAATACGGCCATTAAAACCGTGCTTTACATGATCGCATTCATTGCCCAACTGTCGGCTTGGACTGCGCTTAGAAATTCATCATCGCACATTGCTGCTGGGGTGAGACTTATTTTTACAATACTATGCTAACAGAGCTCTTATATCAGCCAAAACAAAATAATGTAACTTGGCTCAGTATATTACATAAAAAAAAATGGTCAATAATATAAATAGTTAATAATCTTCTCAATAAAATGTTTTTATCTTATTCGCTAGATATTCGGTATTTTCAATACTCTTGCGTATGCCGCCGGAACTTATTTTCTGTACATTGAGTGGAAGAGCACTAACACGCAGTGAGAGAGCACTCATCGCAAAGAAGAAGCCAAGGTACCTGAAGAGCATACAACAACAACAACAACAGAATTGCCGCGACCAGGCTCGTGACTTCTCAGCGTCCGTCCAAGGAGATTTTGGCATGGATCCCAAGATCATGCTCGACAAGAAAGTGAGCGCTGGGAGAGACGGTTCGAAACTAGTCCGGCGTAAATCCTCTTCGTGTGTAGCTTAAAAGAAAGACTTTGTACCTTACGTGCCTTATGATTAAGTTACTTCGCGATCGTCGTCGTTCGAGCAAAATACGCTGCCGTGTTTCGAAGAAAAAGCCAAAAGTCGCACGAAAAGATCACATTCAGATATTATATTGTGTATTTAAAGAGACAATAATATGTTACTCTCGTAAGTATACGCAACGTGCCGTTGAACTGAAACCTATAATCTTATGCGGCCTTTTTGTACAAGAAACATAATGAAAACACTGAAATTGCACTGAAATAATTTCTTTCCAAATTACTCCAGTAATTGAAGTATCAGTGCACTTTTATTTGAACAAATTACAATGCTGCGATTCTAGGCAAAATTGTAAGACTCGTAAAAACTTGCGAATCGAAACTGCAATTCTACGCGTACTTTTGTTTTACGATCATTCGCAAATATCTCCTGAGTCTTGCTGTTAACAATATGGTTCGTGAATCTACACGTAACTCTCAATGAGAGTTCAATGTACAAATGTGAAGTTCATCGCTCATAGTAATTATGAACATAAAGGCGCAAAATCGTTTACGTAGACCTATTACTCAGTTTGTTACGATTGCCTTGAAAGTTTTACGATTTTATGATTTATTATTTATGCATTGCTTAGAATTTCAGCATTTTAACTTTAACTGATCACGGTTGATCGTGGAAACAAATATGTTAATTTACTTAGAATTTATACATGAGAAAGTCATGATTATTTAATTATATATATATATTATATATCTTTCCAAAATATCTCTTTGTTTAATCTTATGAGACTGTTATTATTTCATTTGTACTTTATTTCTTCAATCACACATAGTTTCGGAAGACGACGAGATAAGTATCTAGTGTTAAGAGACGTCGATGCGCGATAAGTTTGTGAGGGATTTAATATCATTTTTTTACAACAACACTTTGAAGAATGTAGACATTTAGTTTTCAAAATATTAACAAAGTTCTTGGGATGTCACATTTCCATTTTCTCTTGTATCATTTGATGCTCAGTGTTTTAATCGAAATTACTTCTTAAGATCACACTAAACGATTATCTATACGCTGATCAATTTCGGGCCAACATTAGTTTACAAAACTTTTGGCGGTTCCAACGGAATAACTTTTCGTGCATCTGACGAACACGTGCGAGCGTAAAATGTCATTTTTTTAATTGTACCTTTGCGCACTTCCGTGAAAGATTTTATTTATATACACGTGTATTTCTTTATATAATATATAGATGACATATATATGTTACATATACATATTATATATTATCTCTATAGACTTGTGAATGGAGTATAATTTCTTTTTATATATGTTTTTCTCTCGTTTTCTTCGCGTATATAAAATTTATATGTACTTTCAAAATGATAAAACTTCACTTAAGATAGAATCTTATTTCGACGATATCGGTTGTGGACAAACATCGATTAATCTCATTTTTTCTTTTTTTAAATCACACACGAAGCTCAGATGCATGTTAAACATGTAAAGTGATTTTTACACAAAAGTGTTAGCAATAAATAATCATTACATTGATTCGTTTTAGATCTGATGCTTAACTAAACCTAAAAGTGAACACTGATTTAATTAAGATTACGGTATATTTACTTTATTACCATAAAGTCATAAACGACAACAAGACGCATTTGTGCTGCGTTTGTTCGTTTCTTCATTCGTTTGTGTTTTCTTCCTTAGTTATTCCTTCTGTTTCGAATTGATTAATACGTCTGTCGACGTGTAAATTTTCAAACATTTAAAGAAAAGTATCTAGTTTAATATTGTTGTTTGTTTATATATAGCACACACACTCTCTTTATACGTCACATAACGTAATTAATGTACGTACATACATGCATGATGATGTGTGTGATGTATACATTATGTATGTACACATGTTTGCGTTTTAAACAATTAAGTTTTTTAAATTTCAAAGTTTATTTATTTTTAAGCTATGAAGCTAAATAAAGTGAAGTTAAAGGCTATTGAACATGTAAGCATTTTCCTATTTTTATAAATATTACAGTTGCGTATTATTTTTTAAAGAAGATGTGGGAAGAATTTTGTGTAAGTATACAAACTACGAATACCATGTTTTAATAAGTAACATTTGACTAAAGTTGTTTTAATATAACAAATTCTCATATATAGTATATACATATATATATTCATATTAATTGAAAAAAGAGACAGTTTTTGATATATTTGTTATCTCTTATGAGAATGAGAACACAGTAACATATTTATATCGATTGTAGTAGTAGTCTAAATGTGTGTGAGAACGTGTATGATATCATCAGTGACGTCAGCTTTGGAAGCGCGCTGAGAGCGCACCTTCAGTCATCCGCTGACGGTCGGTGTGCAACAACCATTTTCTGAAACCTAGTGGAGTGTATGGTGCGTATCACTTTTTTGGGTGTCACTCGCAATACTACACACATAATATTTAATTAAATGTTTACGAGATTACGCTAAAAAACCTCTTTTTCATTAAAAAAAAAAAAAAACTGTTTTTAGTTGTATATGCAATATTTGTAACAAAGTAAAAATGAGAAAGTTGTATTTTATTACCAATTACAAAGTGAAGTTTTCTTACACATTTATCAGATTTGAAAAATCATTTTATTATCATACACACATCAGTCAGTCACACATCAATAAGTTAAGTTTGGTTATAAAATTTGCTTAAGTTTGGTTATAAAATTAAAGAACTGTCACAATCTTATGCAATCAGTATAATTGTTGATATCGTAAATACATAATTACATATACATGTATCTGAACTTTGCGTAAACTGAATGAAAGTGACAAAAAAGTGTAAACTTTAAACAGAATAAACTTGACAATTAAAAATATAATAATAATTTATAATGCAGATTCTATATGTAAAAAATAATAATACTATAACGTAATTAGTGGTATGACCTTGAAGAAGATAATTTTTTTTTAATCTTTATCGGAATAAACAGTACGAGGATTCAAACTTAGTGATAGATAAGTAATCAAAAAAAAACTGATAATTTTTTCACGTACTGTTTATACTTGCGCTTGTTTTGGATATTTAAAAATAACCCGTGACGAAACGAAAAGAGCGTGTTCTCTAGCAGTGCGTTTTCAGAAGTTTTCGCACATTTTGATATATTATTAGAATATATTATTGGATAGAGATCAGTTGATGATACTTTATACTTGTACATTATTTTATTTGGTAATTATTAAACATAGAGCTGAGATATAACGCAATCGATACATTACAATGTGTAGTACGTGTTCTTTACGGGGAAACAACGCTTATCACTAAAGTTATCAATATTTTATCAAAGCAAGTATCCATTCTTGATAAATCTATACCAATCATGATTGCTTTTTTGAAATTATAACAAATTTTAAAGTCAAAGCCACAGAAGAACTTATTTTTTTTGTTGCTATTGAACTCATGGCATCTTGGTTGAGAGAAAGTGAATTTGAAGGTCCTTACACGACAGACGTATCGATCGCAGACGAGCTTAAAGAGCAAGCTAGGATATCGCGAGAAAGATGTTCTGTAGTAATTCGCTTTTACATTTTTACACTAATTGTCTGTGATCAGTCAAAGCAATACAATTTCTTTCTAGTGTATTAAAGTGTCACTTTAAGTGACCTTTTATTAAGATTAAAAATTTAGAACAAATATTTTGTATAAATTTTACTAGATATAATATTGAAAAAATTAGCTATAAAAATAAAAGTTTCTTATAGTTTCTATAAAAAGTTACTATGAATTGTAGTAAGTTATTCCCTGTGTGTTATTTCTGTTTTTCTCAAGAACAACGTGAATTTTCTGTCAAAGTAGATTGTGCTTCGAAATCTTGTTCCTGTCCCACTTGTCACACGTAAACATTCATACTCATACCAAATTACATGCCTAAGAATTAAACATATACAAAAGCAAATCTATTGGTTCAATTTCAGAAGTGACGTTATACCGAAGCAACTATGTCCCACTCTGTAACAATTAGAACACACACAGTGACGACCAGTTCGTCAACAATTATTATCAACACCGGTTATATGAAAACTTGGAGCGGTATATTAAAATTGTTAGAATTGGTACGTATATACATCCATTATTTAGATTTAAAACTTAACCCTTCAGTACCAAACATAAAAAATGACCTACAAGTTGTTTACGCTGGGTCTGTGAGATCCACGCACTTTAAGTTTGAACATCTCCGCAAAAGGAAACCTCGGAGATCTATATCTGGCACTGAACTGTTAAAAATGTGACTAAAATAAAGTCACCTGACAGGGAGAAGAGAAAAAACAACACTTGACTAAAAAAAGTAAATAATGACAGAAAAGCGATTTTGAGAGAGTTCGTCGTATACGTGGAGAAAATTAAAACCGTGATTAAAGTCACATGACAGGAAAGAGTAGAAAAACAACACGTGACTAAGGTAATGTGACTGTAATGTATATTATACATAACATTAAATAATATATGATATAAATAATATATTAAATAATATATATTATACATATAATTTATTATATAT